TGAGAAATCCCATCTGCTCATGAAATCTGCTCCAGAGCTCCCAGATGTGCCTGGGTGGAGCATCCCCACGGCTCGGGGAGCAGCGTCTGTGGCTGTTCCAGAGCTCATGGAGCACCTTTCCCAGGCTGCCTGCTCCTGCTTTTTGCTGCCAAGGGCTTGTTTATGTAGGATGCTCTGTGGGTGGGATGTGGTTTTGTCACCACTCCATTGTTGGACTCTGTTTGGGCACTCTGCCCAAGGATGATTAATGATGTTTTGAGTTGAGGCTCTGAGGTGCTTGCAGGCATACTGCAGGTACCAGAAGTAAAAGAGGTGTTGTTATCATCAAGGTACTTCAGTGTTATATCAAGTGTAATCAGAAGTGAATTAATTAAAGCAATGTGTACATATAAGTCCTTTTATAATGGATGTTCAAACAACTCATATCATAGAGTTTAGAGCTCAGCATTTCAGACTTTTGTAACCCTCTCCTCTCTGTGAGAAGACAGAGGATGCCAGGGCTGCTATCAGAGGACAAACCTCTCCTGCAAAGGTCTTTTTGTCAAATACAGCTCTTAAAACAAGTTAGGAAGTTGTGTAAATTTGTTGATCCTGGCTCCAGCATATTTCAGGGTTAATTTTTATAGCTCACACAACTAGTGTAGGATGAGATCTAATGGTTGCTTGGGTTTCATCTGACCTTGGAGTGAGCAAAAATCAGTAGAAAAATTGTATTTATTGTTCAGCTCTACCAGGATTAAACTTTCTTTTTGCAGCACAACATACCCTTGACGTGGTTGTCACTTAGAAAAATTGCCTGGAAATACATCTGGCTCTTCTGTCCAACTGCTCAGGCTTTGTGAGGCTGGTGATACTTCACCCCACAGAGAAGAGAAATTTGGATGGAGGAGGGGTTGACAGAATTGCAGGGTGACCAGAGATACAGATCCTAAGCTGTAGCTGCAGTTTAACAAGCAGAGCGAAATCCTTCTTTTTTCAAGTTGAAAACCCTTGTTTTGGTGATCTTGGCAGCAGTGGGGGCCCGAGCTGGGGGTGTTGCCAACCCAGCTGTGGAGGAGACCACAGCTGGCAGGGCTGTTCCATGGGAAGCAGAAGGTGAGGAACTGAAACTGCAGCTTCAGCTCAGCCTGCTCCAGGGTGATGGGTGACTTGGGTGACCCTAGACCCGTGTTTTGGCTCTGACAGAAGCTGTTCTGGCCCCACCTATGTGGAGGAAGCTGGGAAGCTGGGACTTGGTGGAAACATAATGAATTAGACCTGGACCCTGCCTGGCACACATTTAAAGCCGTTTGCCCAGGATAGTGTGTTATTTTGATATGTGTGAAGCTAGTGATTTTGTTTTTCCAGCGTGCTGGAAAACGTATCAAACAAGGAGGAGATTAAAATGACCCCAAATGCTCAGAGCACTAAGAAATGGGGCACTCCAAATCAATCCTCTGATCTTTTTGAACTAAACTCATGGTTTTCTGAACTGCAACTCTGTGATTTGGAGAGGACAGAGATGGAGATGGGTCGAAAGCTGAAAGTGTACCTAAATGTAAAACTTTGACATACTCCAGTATTAGCACTCCATGTGCTGCTCTGGTCTCTCAAGCTACTTTAGTTTACTGCTGGGGAAGGTTGAAAGGTGATTCAGTCATAGTTTACAAGTACCTAAAAAGGGAAGAGGTTTCTCGTTGCTAGATGGGATTCAAATTTACCAGAGAAAGGCAGAGATCTCTTGGCTGGAAGCCAAAGTTAGGGAAGTTCAGACTATGAATAAGAACTGCAGTTTAAACTTTTTACGAATGAAAACCAGAGGAAAGTCTTTGTCTGGAATTAAGCAGAGTCATCAGCAGTGAATGGCTCTAAACGAAGATTTCTGTGTTTTTCTGAAAGCAGCAGGAATTATGAAGTGAGGCTTTCCAGCCCAGAGCAGCCCATCCCAGAGACCAAGGCCAGGCTTCCCTTTTGCCCAGAGCAAGGCTCTGGATGCTGTTTCCAGGCTTGGGGCTCTGCCTGCTCTTCCCACACTGCTGTCCAAGCACAAGCCCTGCTGCACTGCAGCAGAAAGGGCACAGATGTGTCAGGGAGCACAGCCCTGCCTCTTTGTGCACAGCCCTTTTCCCAGACACAGTCCAGAATATTTTGGGATTGGATTCCCCTTTCACTGCTCTGTCTGATTCAGCTGGAGGATTGCAGTCCATGGAGTCCATGAAATGTGGCCTGGAGCTGAATACACTGTCTCTTTCCCTCCTGTAGTGAGACACCAAAAACATGTAGACTGGGGTGGAAGGATGTTCTCCTCCCTTTTTCTGGGCAGGACTCTCTGCTGGAGGGGTGGGATGCTGTGTGTGTCAGCTCTTTGTTTTTTTGGACCTGCCTGCTTAGGAATGTCCTGTAATCTTCACTGGTGGCATGTGCAGAGTTTTTGGTGAGACATGATTTATGTTGGTGGGGAGATCATGGAAAGTTCCTTGCTTGTTCTTGGCCCTCTTCAACAGGCTTCAGGCTTCTGGGGTTTGCTGTTCCCTTGCCAGCGTTTCGATGGTGAGGGGCAGGGCTGACACCCCTTCTCCCAGCAGCTTCCAGTTTATCTTCCACTCAGGGTGATGGTAGCACATAGAACTATAGAAAGGAGATGAGAAGAGAATATTCTTTCACCCCCTCAGGACTCAGTTGTTATATCAGTTTTAACACCAGTTCAACTTCTTTGTATCCTACTACTGGTTCTCGCTCATATCAGAATTCTTCACACCTGTGGCTTCTCTGAAATGAGACAAGAGTTGTCCCTTCAGTGACTGGTATCTCAGTCCAAATTAACCCATCTTATGTCCACATGCTGCCTGCTTCATAATTCTGCAGACCTCCAGGCTGGAAATAAAATGAAACAGATGCAGCCATGTCAAGGTCAGGACCTTCCCTGTATTTAAGGTGTATGGATAATGTTGGCATGGGGCAGGGTGACCTCGGGGTACAATAGGAGCTACCTGACACACGCATTCAGACAGAATAAATATTTGAGAGTCTATTTCTCTGTTCCCCAAAATGACCCCTATAAAAGCAAGGTCCTGTTTACCTTCCTGGCTCTCCGTGCAGTGTTCTGAGAAGAGACCAGCTCTCTTCTCCCTTCACTGCCTTCCAGCCCTTCTGGGCAACTCATTTCCAGGCAAGGAGACAAGGATCAGGGATACAGCCTTCACAAAACCCATGGCACCTTGGATTTTCACAGAATTCCTAAAATTTGGTGAAAGCTGAGATCATTTCTGGCCAGAAGCCTCTGTTTGTGCCAAAGCACAGTGACCAGGGAAGCAGTGAGAGATGTCAGTGCCCAGCCTGCAATGATTGCCTGCAGCCCACTCAATGGTTTTGTGCCTGTCCCTGTCCCATTAGAATCATGAAATGGTTTGGGCTTAAATAAACTTAAAACTCATCTCATTCCAGCCCCCTGCCATGGGTAGGGACACCTTCCACTATCCCAGGTTGCTCCAAGCCCTGTCCAGCCTGGCCTTGGACACTTCCAGGGATGGGGCAGCCGCAGTTTCTGTGGCCAGCAGCTGTGAGGTCTGACGTGCCTGGGACCAGCCCTGCCACATTACCCCCCCCCCAGCCCGGGGCTTTCCTTTCAGTCACTGTGAGCTTTGCTTGGCTAACTCCTGTTACCCTGAACTGTTCCATTTCTATCCATGTTGGGATCCTTTTGATTAAGGACAATTTAGCTTCTCATTCCCATCAGGAATATGAGAGTGCTGAGAGCTTCCTGCCACAGAAGCATATTCCTGACAATCGCTGTGCTTTTTATTATTTTTTGTAAGATCCCTTTTGGTGAGAACAGTCTTTAAATACTATCAACCTACACTAACTTAGCTTGGCATGAAGAACTAGAGGAGACATACAAAGGTCTGTAGAACAGTGACTGCTCTAATGAAACCCATCCAGTCCCTCCACCTTTGAGTGCTCTGTCATTTCACAAGATCAGAATGCACAAAGCAATTAGAAGGTGGTCTGTGCATATTAGAGAGAGGAAATTATCTATCTGTAACACACCTCAGACAAGGGGAAGCCATTGTTACCAATATTCTTAAGGCAAAACCACCAAGTTGCTGTTTCTTTTTTTACGGTTAGCGCTGAGAAAGAAAAAGGGAGCTAGAAGAGTGCAGAGCTGTCAGTTGAAAGAAAAATTGCAAGCCTGCTAATCCTTTCTTGTCAGGCTTAATATAAAGCCTGGCAGAGATTGATAAGAAGTGTCTCCCCTCTGTCTGATGTTCCAGGTGCATGGTAAAAATCACCTCTCTGAAACACCCACGTGCAGGGCTCCAGGCTGGAAAGGCTGCTGGCCAGCCTGACACTGCTGGCATAAAACCATTTGAAATACCTATTCTTTCACTTTTCTTCTTGCAGCCTGAAGAATGGCTGTTCTCTTCACTCCTTACATGTGCAGGATTTTCTTGCAGCCCCTGTCAGTGGCTATTGCTCTGCTGATGTTGAGCTGAACAAGGTCTCTGCAGCAGATTTGGAGCATCTGGGGCACAGGGGCCTGCTCCCTGTGACCTGCCTCTGCTCCATCTGCACAAAAACATTCTGGCTAGGGCTGCTGGGGCTGTGGGACTGGTAGCACACCCATGGCAGCCACAGAGGTCATGTAGGTATTGGCAATCTGCAGCAGCAATGGCCAGGAGCAGGGGGAAAATAGTCCCTGGAGAGCTTGAGGTCTGTGCACGGTGGGAGAGTCTGGAGAGCTCAGCAAAGCTCTGCAGGGACAGGAGACACATGGTCCTGCCTGCTGTGGAACCATCAAATCTGGTCATATGGAGCCTCCAGAGCTGGGGGCTCCCTCTGTTTTCTGTGTGGACATTTCTGACTCCACGCTCCATCCTCTGTGCTGTTTTCCCTGGACAGCCCCTCCCCATCACCCCATGGCAGTGGGGGCAGCAGGAGCTCCCCAGGGGAGGGGGCTCCTCTTGTGTGTGCACAGCTCTGAGAGGGGCAGGTTTCACAGTGTCCCCTTTCTCTTTCCCTAGCTGTTCCTCCCAAACTGAAGAAACTGAAAAGCCCAAACGTTCATGTGGGGGAGAAGATTTCCCTGAAATGTGAGGCGACTGCTGGAAACCCTCAGCCGTCCTACAAATGGTTTAAAGATGGGAAGGAGCTGAAGAAGAGCAAAGACATCCGGATCAAGTATGGGAATGGGAAGTAAGTATGACACAGGGCTGCTCTGCCTCTGCTCACGCAGGGTCTGGGTCTGGGGCCACCTGGCTGGAGGTGCTGCTGTGCTCCCCAAGTCTCTGCTGAGCAGCACTGAGGGCTCCCTCAGAGCCACAGGACCACGCTCAGCCCAGTTACCATGCCCAGGAGAGTGAGCAAGATCCCCAGTGTCCTCAGAGAGTCATGGGGAGAGGAGCAGGGCACGCACAGGGAAGGTGTTGGGTTTGTAGATGGGCTGTCCTGGGGCCAGGGAGGCATTGGACACCTGAGACGGGCGTCCTGTGACATGGGGAGGCTTTCCCTGGTAGCTGTGGGCAGCTCAGGTTGCCTGGGGTGACTCCTGCTCTGTGGTTAGGGGTGGGATGCAGAACGTACCCAAACCCAGCTGTTGCCCCATCACTCAGCAGCAGGGCTGTGGGAGGAATTGGTTTGTTCCCTCCTGAATTTAGGTGGACACAGAAGCATTTAAGGCCACTGAAAAATCACAGAATGACAAATTAGGGCTGGAAGGGACCTCTGGAGATTATCCAGTTCAACCCCCCTGCCAAGGCAGGATCACCTGGAGCAGGTAATGTAGGAACATGTCCAGGTGGGGTTGGAATGTCTAAGAGAAGGAGACTCCACACCCTTCCTGGGTAGCTGTTGCAGTGTTCTGCCACCCTCAGCTTAAAGAAGTTCTCCCCCATGTTGGGATGGAATGTTTCATGGTTTAGTTTATGGCCATCACTCCTTGTCCTGTCACTGGGCAGCTCTGAAAAGAGTCTGGCACCATCCTCTGACACCTCTTGGAGATATTTATGTGCATTAATGAGATCCCCTCTCAGTCTTCTCTACACTGAGCAGGGCTGAGATGCAAAATGACCTCACAACACTGATCAGGGGTCATGGTCACATGCAGAGACCTTGTCCTGTGCAAATCCTTTCACCTGTCCACCCAGGGCAAGCTCCCTCACATCTGCCCCAAAGTCCCCACCCTGCAAAGCTCTCAGGTGGCTCTCAGTGACTGTCAGCCTCAGCACCACCTCATTCAGGCAGGGCTAAAACACCTGCAGAAAGAGGCCCCAGTGACCAAGCTAAGGGGTTCTCACTGGGAATGGATTTAAATGAATCCATGTTGATATTTCTCAAGGCCCAGTATTTACATATGATGTATCATAAAATTATTCCATAATCATGGCTATGCTTGCATTCCTACATCCTGACCTAGCCAGCAAAACTCAGCTTGCAAGTGCCTGACCCCTTGGAAAATTTGATGCTAATTCTTTCCTAACATATGTTCTGGGTGTGTGAATAAAGCTCATTATGGACTTGTTAGAGTAGCAATTTTTAAAATTAGAAACCACTACCAATCAGAAAAAATTAGTGTTTGAACGGGGCGTTGCCAATTGCCTGAATTTAAATTTGGTCCGGTTGGGTTTGGTTTCAGAGTCACACCCAAGATAGTTGACCTCCTTTGTAGTAATTTTAGGACTTGTGGCTGTTTTGGGATGGGGCAGTGAGGTGGTCAGTGCATCCAGGAGATCTGGGTGCTGCCTGCTCAGGAAGGGCTGTGTGGGCTCGCAGGGACAGGGCAGGGCTGTGCCTGCCTCGCTCCTCCGCTGCCCTCACTGGTTTTGGTGGCCTTTGCCAGTCTCGTGGCCTTGGTTGTTTAGCAATGGCTGCCAGGGCTGGGATGCCCTGGAGAAATGTCTGCAGCATGCTCTGCAGCCAGGTGTGGGAATCCTGCCTGCCCAGGGTGTTGGGGAGTGATTTCCCTCAGAGCTGGAGTGCATCCGGCCCCAGAGCAGACACCCAGTGCTCCCCTACTGTCCTCCCAGTTATCCCAGCCCTTCCTCGCCTCCTGCCACCCTGTGTCCAGCAGGAAGCTGTGACAGGATGGCATCCCACCCCCAGCGATGGGGACACGCAGTCCCTGGGCCAGGGACAGAAACAAATGGAAGGAAGTTGGTCCCTTTTCCTTAGGACACTGCTGTCTAGTCATAATTTTGCATTTACTAGTTTCCATGGCAACATGTCGGCTCTCCAGTGAGAGGCCAAAGATGTGTGGTGCTGGAGGGGCTTCCTGCTGGCAGAATAAGCCCGAGGATAAACATTTTAAGGACAGCAGAGCAGCTGCCTCCTCCAGTGTCTGAGACTCCCTCAGCAGCAAAGCCCAAAGCATCCCCAGAATTTTTTTCCCATCTCAGCTTCTGCTCCCTGCTGCCATGAAAATGTGCCTGTCTTGTGCTGGGACCAGGCTGTGGAGACTGGACTCAAGCAGCTGTTGAGCGGCAACAAAAGGAAATGGTCTCAAGCTGTGCTAAGCAGGGTTTGGATATTAGGGAAAACCTCATCACTGAAATGGTGGCCAGGCATTGGAACAAGCTACCCAGGGAAGTGGTGGAAGTGTTCAAAAACTGTGTAGATGTGTCACTTGGGGACACGGTTCATTGGTGGCCTTGGCAGTGCTGGGGGAATGGTTGGACTCGGTGATCTCAGAGGGCCTTTCCAACCCAAGTGATTCTGTTGTTCTGTGGGACAGTTGTGGGATAATTACCCCTCAGTGAGCATTTGCCCCTTGTTTAGCAGTGCAGGAACACTTCCCTGAGAGGATCTGGGTGGGTCTGTGGACACCCACTCTGGCATTCCCACCTCTGTCCCCTGCACCATGTTTGCCAGGCTGCAGAACTGAAAATTTCAAGGCAGAATGTCCACTGGCATTGGACCTGCCTCCCTCTGGTCTTGACTGCATGGAACAAACACTAAAAACTGCTCAGAGCAGGCTGAGGGCTGAGAGAGCCCTTGTGACTTTGATGTCTTCATTATGCAGCTGCTGGGGCCAAGTTGAGTGGAGGGACATGTGATATGGGTGTAGAGCATTACTTGCAGCCTGTTGGGAGGGGACTCCAGGGGAGGATAAGCATCCCAAACTGTAAATCTCTGAAAGAACATCTTACTCTATAATGATTATTTTAAGAATAATGGGATTTATACATCTGGCTCCACTTAGAGATAACACTGGTCTCCAGATAATCCTCTGTGCTTCCCTTCAGTTCAGAGTGGGGATTTCAGAGGGACAGAAATGGAGCCCTGGGGAGGGACCTTCACAGGGAAAGAACACAAGGCAAAAATTTCTCAGGCTGTGCAGGACCTGGCCAGGTGCACAGGGTCATTTCTTCAGAAGTGTAATCCAAAGACCTAATAGAGTTTTCTGCTGGAGCCAGGCCAAAAGAGCCCTCCAGCAAACTGATGTCCACAGTGAGGCCCTGGCAGAGCTGGGCACAGCCAAAATCTGTCCCCAGCACTGAGATCTTTAGCATGCAGAGGGTTAGGATGAGAGACAAGAACATGGTTGCCCTCTGTGATTCATTCCTGGCTTTCCTCCCTGTGTGTTTAAAGAGCCTTGAGGTTTCTAACTAGAAAGTATGACTGAAGCACTTTTTTTTTTTTTTTTTTTGGTGATTGGGTTTTTGTTTGATCTCTAGAATAGGGGATCTCTTTCAAAATAAGGGATGTATATGTTGTAAGGAGAAGAGGAGCACTTAACTGCATGTCAGCTCTTCAGCTTTTCCATCAATCATTTTCCTCTTCTTTTTAAACTTACCGGCAAAGCTTCTGGTGCCATCAGGCAGAGGAGTCAAGTTTTTTTAATGGATATTTGCTGGAGGGAGGGGAACAATTCTGATTCCTCCTTTCTGAACTTCATGTTCCATCTGTAATTAGTGACAGGCTGGGGCAAGCCTGGATTGCACAAAGGGGAAACCTCTTTAAGGTGGAAGAAATTATTGGCTGGAATTTTATCTCCATCTCCATTTAAATAAAACACAGTTGATGGGAAACCCAGAGAAATTACCCAGAAAGAATTGCCTGTGGTAGTGGAAATACAGCCTAGTGAATGGCTCTCCCCCCAGGCTGCTAAAGTGATGCCGTTTTTGGCTGAGTGTGTCTGAGGTCTGATTGAGGCTCCCAAGAAGTTCAGGTTGGGTTTTAACTTTCTGACTATCCTGGCAAATGGTCAAGTGCCAGCTGTGGAGGAAGCCAAGGGAGTTTTTGCTTGTGGAGGTGTAGAGAACCTTCCCTTCCTGAGCTCATGCTCAAAGCTCAGCCTGGGACATGCAGATGTTCAGCTGGAGCCCAGGAGCCTGGGAGTCCCCGAGCTGTGCCTGTCCTTACAGCCCTTTCCCTTTGTGTGCTCTTCTACCAAGGGACACTGCTGGGGTGATGAAGTAGGCGTATCATTGATTGGAGAGGGTTGGCAGTTCAGTTTGGGACAGGCTGACCATATGACATCCCTTGGGAGTACTGTCCTACTTTCAGTATCACCAGGAATCCCTATTGTTAGCCTGTAAGTGGAGCCAAGGGATACCCTCCTCTCCTGTTTCTGTACAGTAGTCCTTCAGGCAATGCCACTTGAGCAGATTCATTGCTGGGGTCTTCCTTGTAGGGCTCCCAATTGTAGATTATTCCCCACCCACAATGAATGGGGCTGTGGTCTTCCCTGTACAGCTCACTGCACTGGAATGAAGGCCAAAAAAAAAAAAAAAGCCAAAGCAGCAGGGGAACGAGAGTGCCAATAATGATAAATTATTTCCTAATTAAGCCTGGAGACAAGGAGGGGCAAAGAGGACTGTTGAAGCCTTGTGGGAGCCAGAGTGAACCCAAGCAGGCTATACCACCACTCTGGCAGGGGTCTTTGGGCTGACATTTTTAAACAAAGGAAAAAGCTCATTTGACAATGGATCTTGCAAGAGCAATTCCAGATGCCTTGAAGCGAAGACTCTTCTCAAGCACCGGTGTTGTTATAATCACCAGGGGAGCTGCTGCCTTGCTAACTCTCACATGTCATTATAAGTCTCCAATACTTGGGATTTGATTTTAGCTGCTGAAGGCACTTTATTGGAGGGGGGTGTGAAGGAGAGCATCTCCTTTGTTTGTTTGCTTGTTTTAGAGGAGATGATGGACATCATCTTGGCCAATGCACCTGGGACTGAACCAGGGAATTTGAGAAC